TTACATCATGATCATTTGTAATCACACTTTCTTGTGGAAGTATCGTGGTATTTTTGAGTCCTATGAAGCTCTCGAACCCACACAACACCAGTTTGCAGGGACTAGATGAATAGTGTTTTTAAATATTTAACTTAAATACCCATGTGTAAAAACTAGTGGGTAACAGAAATTTGAATACCCAGATAGAATTACCCAATACCCAATGATTTTAAAATGCATGGGTAAAATACCCACAACACCAAAAGCTTATCTGGAGCTCTAGTTTTTATCCCTAATGACAGAGCACGGACACTGAAACCTACATGGATGTAATCAGGATTTCTTCAAGATATACATTCAAAACTGTCATTCATTTTGTAACATAAAAAACACTGACAAGTTGATCGGGATTATTGATCGGCAAATAAATCTTGGAAAACTCTCAATGAATGTGTACTTCGAAAGAGGTGTCATATGTCTATTACCGTTAGGATATGTTCCTTCCAATGGTGCGAATTATTGGGAGTTCTTTATTTCAAACAAGAGCGCTTACTTGCCTTAACTTGCGACTGTCAGGTGCTTCCATATTACGATTTTGTAGAAAAGTAGGAAACTTACAATACCAGCACTTTTATCAATGGCTAGGCAGTGCATAGATCTTTGATAAAGTTGATGAGGAACTTGCATGAATTGTTCTCAGTTGCACACTGCAGAGACTTAGGAGAAGGGCTGTCAGAGTAAACCTGGTTTTGAAAGACTTACTTATAGCAGGAAAATCTCTTGAAATAAGTGAATTTCAGGCTTGTGATGTGAAAAAGTTGGATCCCAATCTGTAAATTTTGTCTCTCATGGAAGAACTTGAAATAGATATCAAGGACAACGTGGTCATGCTTCACAGAGATTCAATCATCACATTCAGTAAAGAAACAGAAATTCAAGTCCATCACAAGATTATAATCACCCAGAGCGACAATTACAAGCTTTACACAATCAACGACAGACATTGAATCAATGCAAGTGCTAATTGTGCTGCTTTCAGTTCCCATATGATGGTAAATGTCCTGCAAAAGGTAAGAAATGTAGTGCATGTGGAATTCTGAATCATGTCTCCTTGTGTGTCTTTCACATTTCAAACCTGTCATTCTTGGAGAAATCAGGAAATCTTCTTAGCTTTAAGTCTGCAGAAAGTTTGGAACTCTTGAAAATTGCAAGAGATATTACATCAAAAGACATTGCAGATGAATTCCCCAATGTTGAATGGTATTGGCAAGGCCAAGAATGTACAAGTCAAATTGCAGGTTGCTGAAAATATTCCACCAATGAGACAATCACATCGCAGAGTTCCTATTCATGTGCAAATGGATGTTGAGAAAGAACTGCAGCGTTTGGAAGAGTTGGATTTTATAGAAAAGGTTGATACCCAAGAAATCAGAAGATGTGACTGCGTGTTGACATGAGAGAGGCAAACGTTGCAATCCGAAGAGAGAGGAATATCACCCCGACCATACATGATCTTATTTCTGACTGAAATGGTTCCACTATATTTAGCAAGATAGACCCTAATGATGGTTATCACCAGATAGAGCTGCACCCAGATAGCTGATATGTGACTCCTTTCACAACTCGTGTTGGACTCCGACGTCACAAACGTCTGTCTTTTGGAATCAACATGGCCTCAGAAAGATTTTAGAATCTGATAGCTGAAATCATACAAGATATTCCTGGATGTTAGAACATTTCTAATATATTATTATTCATGGAAAAGCAGAGAAACAGAGTTTCCAAGTCAGAGATCACAATTTTATTCCCAAAGTTCTGAATCCTAATTCCCTGGTATCATTTTGATAGCTAAATAACTACTCTTGTATACAGACAGACAGATTAAATAGAAATTCTCTTGTCAAGTTGGACCTACTGTAACAGTCAGATGATTTGTTCTTTCGAATTTGTCAGGATTGGGGAGATTTGTCATCCTCTGATGACTCTTGCTTGGTCATGTATTCGGAAAGAATGACATGTCTGTAGATCCTGAAAGGAGCAAGACTATCATCAATAGAGGACCTTGCGAAGTCAAATGCTTGCTTGGTATGGCACAGTATGTGGGTAGATTCATCCCTGACTATGCCACAAGCATATGAAAGTTAACACATCAAGATATTGGAAATGGAAGAAACCTGAAGTCCATGCATCAACACATCTTAAAGATGCACTCAGCACCACAAAAGTCATGGGTGCTGGTGATGGTAACACCCATACTTTAACATAGACTTGAGGCAGTCGTAGCGTACAATGGCACTATGGACTACATTGATCCAAGAAAGAAGATGGAATTATCTGTTGACTCCAGTCCTGTAGGTTACAGGTGTAGGCACCATACTTCCACAGGAAGGAAAGGTTCTCAGTTGTGCAGGCCATGCACTATTTGACACTGAGACCAGGTATTCACAAACTGAAAGCAAGATGCTGGCTGTTGTATGGGCTGCAGAACATTTTCACCTGTACTTTAAGAGTCAAAAAGCCTGCATTTGTAAAAATAGAACGTTGGTGAATACACCTGACTCGGTACAAGTATGAACTAGTCAGCCTGGCAAGGATGAAAATGACCCTGCAGACTACATGAGCCAATTATTCCAGGCAAAATAAGGTTTCACTTGGAACAAATTGCAACAGAATTTATTTCACCACAATGCATGTCTGCAAGGTCCCCAAAACAACATACTAAAAGTCCCAAGCAATCCTAGTTTGGGAAATATGTCTAGGGGGATTTTCAGATCAAACACTCACCCAGGGATGCTGACTATGACATCACAATGTCTGCCTGTACATTGGCTCAAACATAGCCTGTGGTAGTGGTAGGGGATGACACCGACCTTCCCATTCTGTTGCAACATCACTTCAGACCCGATAACCATGAGGTCATCTCTCTTCAGACAAGTACAAAGATCATTGACATCTCCATCCTGCAGAGGACCCTTGATCCTGATCTCAGCCAACTATTTGCTCTTTGTACATGCATTGTCAGGGTGTGACACAACATGGAGGCCATATGGCATAGGAAAGGTCACAGCTTTTGGGAAATACCACAATCTCCAGGGATAGTCAAAGGTTTTCAAGGTGACAGGTAGAAACCATGCAGAAATCGAGTAGGCTGGTAATCAGGAACTTGCAATCCCCTATGGATGTATGCCTGGCTCGGATTTGAATTCTGAATGTGTGACAAAATTCACTGAGAAGGTGGTATCAAGCTTAAGGTACCTACCCCTTGAAAGCCTTACACCGACATCAGATGCTGCCAGATTTCACAGCCAACGAATCTGACTCCAGGTGCAGACCTGGCTAGCCGACAATATGGATGCAACAGAATAGGGCTGGATGCTTCGCAACAGCAACAATTAAGGGCACTATTTTGAAAACAATCAGAATGCAGCGAGCTGCTGATCCTGTATTTCTATTAGAAATAATCAGGTGCAATTGCACTGGAAAGTATGATAAAAACACATGCTCATGCCGAAAAAATTGTCTACCTTAGCATGTGGACAATGCAAAGGGATGGCATGTTGAAATGGACCAAGTCATGACTTTTCTGACATTGCTGAATAATCGTCTCTTCATGTCCAGTATATGAGTGTGAATATAAAGACTATCTTGAACTTTAGATATTTAAATTGATACTCAGTTTGGCTTAGGTATTTCAGGATTATTTACTCTTTATAGGCTTGTGTTAAGTATTTTGTTGTCCAATATGGAAAAATTGCATTTTGTGCACTTTTCAGGCAGCCATAATTTATTTCTGTGCAAGATTTCACTTCAAAATCAAGTTGATTGTGAATAGACTCATCATCCATGTTTAGATTTTGATTGATTCCATGTTTTATACTTTTTCTATTTTCGTTTGTTTTGATGGCGGCCATCTTAGATTTGACCTATTTTAGGTGTTTCCCCAAATCAAATTTTGGTAAACTATTTTTTTCTTGAAAGTAGGCCTGTGAAGGAATTGAAGTGCATTAAAGACCTTTTCCGTCAATTTTGTTCAACCTTCATGAAATACAAACCTTTAATTACCGGACTATGTCTCGATGCCGAATACTCTTCTCCAGCAAAATTATTTTGTTTGTTTCTAAGTTTGAATTTCTATTCATTTCAACTAATATGTACTAGTTATGGGAAAAATGTAAGGGGGAAGTTGGGTGCTTTTCTGTTTGTCTGTAATCTAGGACCAGTTGGATTAGCAAAAAAAACTAAACGCCCCTGGGAAATAGTACATCAGTCATTAACCTCTTCCCAGTTCAGTGTAATGACAATTCCAAGGACTTACACAAAAGCCTTAATGGTAATACATTTGGGGTTAGATGGGGGATTTTAATTTTCTGTAATGAGCGCTCACACAATGGTTTCAAGTGGAGTGGTGATTGCCTCCACCGAGGTCTCTGCTACATACCCTCTATGAGATACTCCTGAACTTGTTAGTTTGTATGGCAGCATCGATGCCCCAACGAAATTCCTGAGTCACTGCAATGCTGTGCATGCAGTCACCTTGCTATGGCACAGGTGGTGTGTTCTGATGACTGGTGAAACTGATGTCATCGCAAATAATATCTGAGTATTTTGGAATTTGAGCTAACAAGGTGAAGGATTAACTCACCATTCATTGTGTATTGCAGAAGGATTAATCACCATTCATTGTGTATTGCAGAAGGATTAACTCATCATTCATTGTGTATTGCAGAAGGATTAACTCACCATTCATTGTGTATTGCTGAAGGATTAACTCACCATTCATTGTGTATTGTAGAAGGATTAACTCACCATTCATTGTGTATTGCAGAAGGATTAACTCACTATTCATTGTGTGTTGTAGAAGGATTAACTCACCATTCATTGTGTATTGCAGAAGGATTAACTCACCATTCATTGTGTATTGCTGAAGGATTAACTCACCATTCATTGTGTATTGTAGAAGGATAAACTCACCATTCATTGTGTATTGCAGAAGGATTAACTCACTATTCATTGTGTTGCAGGTAGAGGCTTCCTTGACTACTGATGCAGAAAATGAAGACTTACTCAAGCTGAAGAAAGACTTGCAAGTGAGTAGTGCTTCACTTTCGTTGGTAGTGCTTTAGTTTTTGTGAACACCTGGTGTCACCACTGATTTTGAGGTTTCCATACATGTAATTTTCACTACTATTTGGCTATTTCGGCAGTGAGTCGAGACTGGTTATTCTCTGGTTTGATGTTTCCTATTACTGCATTAAATAAACCCCAGTCAAAAAGACAATACATTCTTTAGCTCACCTGACCCGACGGGCTCAGTCAATGTACGCCCGTGTTGTTTGTCATTCATCACAACTACCATCACATTCATCACATTTCAGCCAGAACAATCATGTAGGTTAGGTTCGGTTATAAACAATCAAGTCCTTCGGTTTTCGCTCACATTCCCAGATTCATATTGAATTTTATAACAGCTTGAGACATCATTACATATTATTATATACAGGGCTTGTGTGTTTAGATCGGCTGTATTGCATTAACATTACTTATTTGTATCATTTTAGAAACAAACAGTTACAGTCAGCTCCAGTGATCGGCTTAAAGTGTCCTGCGATCTACTGGTGCTTTCGTCATGAAAAAATTTGTAGTTCATTCAGAAATAGTGTCATTGTTGAAATCCACTAATGTAATGCGATTTCTTCCTAATAAATACATAAACAGCTTCCTGAACATGTTATTTGATAAACTACATCCTTCTAAATTATTGTCACTTCTTATGTTTGGTGTTTTATCATATTCTTCTCACTCAAATGTTTGGCATCTTCTGCTAGCATTTCTGGAAGTGACATTGACAAAATATTGTTACGAGGTCTGCAATTGGCTTATGTTTCCATGTCTGTTTTCTAAACCAATTGGTGATGCTGCTACTGACCAGACAAAGAAGAGAATTTATGTATTTGTGATAGAAATGGAAGTAACAAAATAGTCTTAAGATATGACTTACATTGTTCACAAGTTCTGTCACTTAAACACATGCTGTGTGTTAGCCGACACAACATACAGCAGGTTGCCAGCATTTCACAGCCTTCTTGCAGTCCAAGCACGTAGGCCTCATGATGATGAGAGATCATTCAGACTCATGTTATCTGCCTATATTTACCTTCATGATTGTAGCTAACTGGCTTCAACAACAAAACACTGAAATGAGATCTTTTCGTTCAAGATACAGTTGAAGTTTTTCAGAAACCATTTCGCTGTGGGGTTTTAAATATATGCAACAAGTTTCATCTAACTTTAGTCTTCTAACTGGCTTCTACAATCAAAACATGGAAATCTAATCTCAACATAAAAAACAATTGATTAGTTTATCAAAGTGCTCCACTATTGAAACATCATAAATAAAGAGGCCGTTTTCTCCATTCATGGTGACCATTTTCACTAACCCCATTGGACGTTTTCTCTAAAGCAGTTGTGGTTTTCTCTAATTACCAAGTTGCTTTTTTCTCCAGTTCCCATCTGTTTATGAATTTAAGGCAATATATCTATACACAGTCATTTATTCAACAACCGCAGCTGTAAACACCTGTCCCAAACAAAGTCATAATTCCGACTGACCTCAGACAGACGGACCAATGTTACAAATTTCACCTTATTCCAAATCATCATTCAAACAGTTTGGCTGACCAATTCCAAATTGACAACTTGACTACAACAACATATTGTGGTTGACTGACTGTCCTGACTGTACAAACTTTACCGACAGACCGACCATCATAATATTCATTAATTTACAAAGTTGACTGTGACTGATTGACTGTCACTGAGAGTGGTACAAGAAAATTTAGGTGCCTTAAATCCCCACAAAAGTCAAAGTTTGTCGATAACCGCAGCTATCAACTTCAAAAACAAAAAAGAGGTTTCCCAAATCCTGGAAAAATCCTAAAAGGCACAAACCAAAACCAAGTAATTCAAACTTGGTAAAACGTCCTTGAAATACAAAACTGTTTCAATTCCCAACAGACATTAATCAGTAATTTATTTTTCCAAATCTTGTGTGTTTTGTGTCAGTATGGGGACTTAACATATTTTATGTTCCATTTATCGGTATAATTTCAATTTTGACCTTGATTGAATCATCCTGTCAAATGCATTTCGTTGTATACATTGTCTACGACACCATTAAACCAATGAAGCTGAAACACCAATGATGACACCTGACTTTGTTCAAGAGGTACCAACACATTGATCAATATAGTCAACACAACATGGCAGCCATATTGAAAACTATGGATAGGTATTGGAGGTTTAACATGAAGCATTTGTCGTTTCCTGCTGGAGAATGAAAACCCAGCACACATTCCCAAAGTGAAACGTCTCGGTTGGTTTCGAATGACAAAGAAAACAGCATTTCTACTGGCAACGGCCACAGTGGCAAAGGTCTCCTGCAGGAGGAAGGCTGGCGTTTCATCAGGATATTTATCACAAAAGGCCCAGTAGAAATTAGCTCTTTTTAAGGGTTTTGCTTTATCCTCAATTTATTATCATTATAAGGACTAGTGGACAAAAACTGTTAATTTCTAGCACTTATTGGCAATGTAAATTTACTCATAGACAGATTTCATTGGTAGTACTGTCAGAGTCAAGGTTAAGAATAGCTAGAACCTAGACAATAAATGATCGATACCCTTGATCCTACTGGTAGTGACCCAGGGTAGAATAGGGCCTGTTAGTGACCTCCCCATGGCTGTGGTGACCCAGGGTAGAATAGGGCCTGTTAGTGACCTCCCCATGGCTGTGGTGACCCAGGGTAGAATAGGGCCTGTCAGTGACCTCCCCATGGCTGTGGTGACCCAGGGTATAGTATGGCCTGTCAGTGACCTCCCCATGGCTGTGGTGACCCAGGGTATAATATGGCCTGTTAGTGACCTCCCCATGGCTATGGTGACCCAGGGTATGATATGGCCTGTCAGTGACCTCCCCATGGCTATGGTGACCCAGGGTAGAATAGGGCCTATCAGTGACCTCCCCATGGCTATGGTGACCCAGGGTAGAATAGGGCCTATCAGTGACCTCTCCATGGCTATGGTGACCCAGGGTATGATATGGCCTGTCAGTGACCTCTCCATGGCTGTGGTGACCCAGGGTATAGTAAGGCCTGTCAGTGACCTCTCCATGGCTGTCGTGACCCAGGGTAGAATAGGGCCTGTCAGTGACCTCCCCATGGCTATGGTGACCCAGGGTATGATATGGCCTATCAGTGACCTCCCCATGGCTATGGTGACCCAGGGTAGAATAGGGCCTATCAGTGACCTCCCCATGGCTATGGTGACCCAGGGTAGAATAAGGCCTGTCAGTGACCTCTCCATGGCTGTAGTGACCCAGGGTAGAATAGGGCCTATCAGTGACCTCCCCATGGCTATGGTGACCCAGGGTATGATATGGACTGTCAGTGACCTCTCCATGGCTGTCGTGACCCAGGGTAGAATAGGGCCTGTCAGTGACCTCTCCATGGCTGTGGTGACCCAGGGTAGAATAGGGCCTGTCAGTGACCTCCCCATGGCTGTGCTGACCCAGTGTAGAATAGGGCCTGTCAGTGACTTATCAGTGATGATATAACTGGATTATTGCTGCTCACTCACTCACTCACTCACTCACTCACTCACTCACTCACTCACTCACTCACTCTTTCACGCACGCAAGCATGTGCGCACCAACCCATTCACTCACTCACTCACTACTTGGGGATTCAGGGAGAAGGGTTTTCGGGTGTCTGATGCTTCTCTTAAGGTTGAGGTTGTAAAATTAGAAAATTAGAATGTACAACCTGGCGGCTTCAGTCATGTTTCCCCTTTGTAATGGCCTCTGCTGTCCCACAGGGATTCCAGATTTCATACCAAAAGACGTTAAAAGATGGTACTTGTTGTTACCTTGTCTGGCGCTCGACATTAAGGGGCTAAAACAAGGACTGGTTGGCTCGGAGTCAGTATACTGTGTCTGAGTGGGGTATTCATGCTAAACTGCGGCATGGTATCTCAGTGTGCTAGCACTATAAATCGGCATCAGTCCGGACTAGTACAAGCAGCCACACACACATACACGTGCATGCACGTCGCTATATAAGTGCAATAATCTTGGACGCGACGTTAAACCCCATTTCACCTCACCCTTGCGGTCAACTTTCCGGCCAACTCAGATTAACTAGCTTTGGAGAGAAGCTGTCTATTGTTTGGTAATCGAGGGGTCATCTCAACACGGCAACTCGCAAAAATATCTGGTAGCATTATTGTCTTTGGTGTGGTATTTGCAATATTTAAACGGCGCAGAAATAAAGCTGTTTACATATTTCAATTGAGGCCTCAAGAAAATGTCAAGCGAAAAACCTACATCAGTGTTTCTCAAAGGTGATGATCGTAGACCATTCTAAAACCATTATCTTGAATCTTTTTCACTGAAGATGATTATTTCAATAGGGGTTGGCGTCTCTTTGTCCAGAGTTGAAGCAGCCATGATAAAGGTGAAATACTGCTGACTACTGCAAAAAACAGCATTGACTACACCTGGAGGATTAAGCCCCCGTTACACTATCAAACATTTTGATAAAAAACTTGATCAAAGTCCATTTTGACCTAGTTTTTGATAGTGTAACTTTAACAAATTTTTGGACAGACCTTGATGGAATAGAAACTGATCCTATTTCTCGTCATTCTTTGATCAAGGTTTGATGACGTTGATTTAATTTAGCCAACGCAAGCCACATGTACCCCTTATCAACCAGAACTGCATAGAGTCAAGAGCAAACTATTTTGGATTTAAGAGTTGGAAATATGCCTTTGCCTACCCCAATGCTGTATTCTCAACATGGCAACACACAAAATGCATATGACAACAGCAAAACATTCTTTATCAGTAGCATCCATCTTGGCAAGATAATTCCCGCCAAATCTTTGACGTCCTGTCAAAAACTTTGATGCATGTAAACAGCCCAACTTGGACCAAGAAAACTTGGTCAAAGAAAACAAAGTTTTTGATAGTGTAACAGGGGCTTTAGGTAGGAACCAGATTTATAGGAAATGGAGCTACAGAAACCTTGCAG